TCCAGTTCCAGGAACGGGAGAAATCCCACCGCAGTTCATTCATCAGCATCCACCACCACCATCGCCTCATCTTTACCAAGATCAAGGTGAGGGGTTAGTTGGAAAGAAGGGGGCGGGGGGGGGAAAGCAATCTTATAGCAAGCTCACCTGCACTTAGGTGGGCCAGAGCTTGATGCTTCCTTGACTGTTTGGTATCTGGATATTTTCAGAACCAGTGCTGAAACTTACTTTCCCTCTGCAGTTGGTTTCTTATGTCCTTATGGGAATAATGGCAATAGCATTTAGACCAGTGGTGGGATTCAAACATTTTTACTACCGGTTTTGTGGGCGGGACTTGGTGGGCGGGGCAGGGGAAGGTTACTGCAAAATCCCCATTTCCTCCCAATCAGCTGGAACTCGGGAGACAGAGAATAGATGGGGGCGGGGCCAGTCAGAGGTGGTATTTTCCGGTTCTCCAAACTACTCAAAATTTCTACTACCAGTTCTCCAGAACTGGTCAGAACCTGCTGAAACCCACCTCTGATTTAGACTTATATACTGCTCCATAGCACTTTACAGCACTCTCCGAGTGGTTTACATCAATACGCTGCCCCAATAATCTAGCTCCTCCTTTTATTGATCTCAGAAGATGGCAGGCTGAGTCAAGCTTGAGTCCTGTCAGCATCGAACTCCAGGCTGTGGGCAGAGTTAGCCTGCAATACTGCATTCTACCCACTGCACCACCAGGGCTCCTTGAGTAACACTATCTGAAGCACTTTCCATTTGCATTGTAGCTTTGACTCCCAGCTTAGTAAAATCTGGAAGTTAGAATCTTCACACATTTGGAAAGCGTGAAAGTACATATTGTTTTATTGGGAATTTCTTTAGATGCCGTCCTGTAATATCACAGATGTTGGAGCACGCAGGTACCTCATTGCCAGCTCCTGAGGTTATTTTCAGAGGTTGATCACAAGGCTGAAAGACAGAAATTTTGGGCTCAATTGTGGTCGTACATCGAGGACCACCTATGTTACGGTATATAACCAATACAGGTGGCTGCAGACATGCTAATACTGTGAACAGAGAACTTTTAACTTCTTTTTTCTTGATTTCACTCTGCAAGCCTGCTTGGAGTATGGGTCAGCTTCCCCCGTATAGGGAAAAACAAATCCATAACTGAAGCCTGCTTTTAAAGAAATCAGCTCATGCGTCCTGCAATTTAGAAAACTTTGTAAGAAAACTTGTTGTGGGCCAAGGGTTTTCTCTCAGCCAGCCCACCTCGGAGGGTAGTTGCTCTAGGGAAAACAGAAGGAGGAAGCATTATGAGGGGTCCTTGGTGTTCTCTGAGCTTGTTTGTTTTCCTGCAGACATTTCAGTGCTAGTAAGAACTCCTTACTAGCATGTTACCTAGATTGGGTAATAAAATGTCTGCAAGAAAACCACCAAGCTTAGAAAGCATCAAGGACCCCAGATTTCAATCCTAGCTACAAATATTCTCCTTTATAGGAAGCATTTTCTATGCCACCTTGAGTATACAAAGTGAAGGCAAGATAGATAATCTTTACTACTTTCTTAAGTGCTTCGTTCTTTTTTTCCTCTCCCTTCCAGACAGTAGAGTTGCATTTAACACAATTGCCCTAAATTTGCATTGGTGATAGAAAGTTTGTGAATCCTTTAGCAATAGCAACAGCACTTAGACTTATATACTGCTTCACAGTGCTTTCCAGCCCTCTCTAAGCGGTTTATAGAGTCAGCCTCTTGCCCCCAACAATCTGGGTCCTCATTTTACCCACCTCAGAAGGATGGAAAGCTGTATTCATACAGTTGTAAAGTGTATTCTGCCCAATTTTACGACCTTTCTTGCCACCGTTGTTAAGTGAATCCCCGCAGTTGCTAGTAAGTGAATCTGGCTTCCCCATTTGCCAGGTCACAAAAAGGGATCACGTGACCACGGGGAAGCTGCAATGGTCGTAAGTGAGAAAAACAGTCAAAAGTCACTTTTTTCAGTGCTGCTGTAACTTTGAACAATCGTTAAATGAACTGTTGTAATGTGAGGACTACCTGTATGGCATGGGCATTTAATAAAACAGTATAGGGCAGTGGTTCTCAACCTGTGGGTCGGGACCCCTTTGGGGGTCGAATGACCCTTTCACAGGGGTCGCCTAAGACCATCAGAAAACAAATATTTTCAATGGTTTTAGGAATAATTTTATTGTTGGGGGTCACCACAACATGAGGAACTGTATTAAAGGGTCGCAGCATTAGGAAGGTTGAGAACCACTGGTATACGGTTTACTTTATACCCTACCCTACTCTTGTGCTTGTTCACACTCTTTTTCTCTTATATAATGTCATACATATATATATATACACTCAAATTGTGTATATTTGTATAAATTGCAAAAACGGGCCTGGTTGTTAGCGCCGTGAAGCAATATGCAGGTAATTTATCTTTTTGATTCCGTGTCTGTCTTAAACCTTGAAGGCATTTAAACACAACTCTTTTAACAGTTGTGTTCCATCTAACGGGTTCTTTTTTTGCCTTTGTCGCTCTAGAGTCCCGTTCCCACGGCAGAGCAAACTTTGTTCAGCGAGACGAAAGGACTCTCAAAATGCAAGAACATCTGAAGAAGAGGCTAAAAGACCGACAGGCCAGCGGACATACGAATAACAAGGCCAACAGCCCCCCTGCCTCACCTCACAAAGCTAACAGCTCTTCCGGCACCAACGTTCAGAACGGCTACGGAAAGGGGCAGCCAGGCACCGTAGGGCAAATGAAACAGAAGCATATAGGGAAAACCCGGGGAAGCCCCATCCCTTCAGCCGATTCAGGAATGGGAGGTACAGAACATTTTGCGGGGGGTTTTTTTGGGGGGGGGGGGGGAAGAAATGGATGCATGCATTAATCAAGTGCACGTAAGCTGTGTGGAGCTATGTGGGAGTCGGCTGCCTCTGAATTGGTAAAACCAACAGGTCCATTTCCTGCATGGGAAAGGAATGAAATGGTGACGTCTTCCTATATGGCACCAGGAGAAGACTCCTATTTTCCTTAAGTGGTTTACAGCAAGGGTGGGGAACTCTAGCCCCTTTTATGACTGGCGGATTTCAACTCCCAGAATTCCTGAGCCAGTCGTGCTGGCTCAGGAATTCTGGGAGTTGAATTCCACCAGTCATAAAAGAGCTATATTGTTGTGGCCTGTCCACTGCCGGCCCCTCCAGCAGCTGAATCAGATGAGGTGTGGGAGTCAGGGTCAGCATCAAGGCAACCTGAGAGCTCTGGAGGGGAAGAGGGATTGGAGCGGGCAGAGAGAGGGACGGAGGCGGAGCCTGGGCCGTCCGTCAGCCCTCAGATGGAGAATCAACAGCCTCCAGGTCTGGAAGTGGCTGATGAGGAAGAGGAGGAACAGCTGGGTCCAGTGCCTGACGCGTGGCTGCGCAGAAGGCAGAGGAGAGGAGAGCAGTGGAAATCTATGGGCCGATCCTTGGGACGGAAGAGCCACCGCTGCTAGCGAGGCAATGAATAGATGTGGCAGACAACTATTAATCTCCCGGATGGACGGACTTGTTAGCCTGCGGTGTGAGAGAGACTTTTTGCCGGGGCTGCTGGCACGCCTAATAAAGGAAACTTTGAGTCAACTTCAGAGGGTTGTCACGTTTGGGGAGCTGGGTCAGAACATATAGTTCCCCACCTCTGGTTTACAGACTAGATGCAGAAGACTTTTCAGAAATACCTTTTTCCAAATGGGTTTTGGTAGCAGGGATGGTTGGATTATGCTTCTTCTTGGTAAGCATCATTCGGTGGGTCCGAAGGTATATTGGTGCTTCTGCCAACCTAGCAGTTTGAAAGCACGTAAAAAATGCAAGTAGAAAAACAGGGACCACCTTTGGTGGGAAGGTAACAGCATTCCGTGCACCTTTGGCGTTGAGTCATGCCAGTCACATGACTATGGAGACGTCTTCGGACAGCGCTGGCTCTTCGGCTTTGAAACGGAGACGAGCACCGCCCCCTAGAGTCGGAAACAACTAGCATATATGTGCAAGGGGAAATTTTACCTTTTTATGCCTACAGGCAGCTTTTTTCTTCTCTCTGACATCTTGACTGCTTTCCTTCTCTCTCTTGTCTTGCGTTTGCCACGATCAACTAAAAAAGTAAATTTTTCCTTCCAGACAGCCTTGATTCCTGCTGGTCTCACATTGACGCATCCCTACCCTTTCTTAGCACGAAGCAAAAGTGGTCAGGATGTTTTTTATTCAGCTTGGCCTGAGGTTGGCTTGGTGCTGTCACCGCTTATCACTGCCACCTTTGTCATCTAGCTAAGACAGGTAGTCCTTGACTTACAACCTCAGTGGAGCCCAAAATTTGTCTAGCTAAATGAGACATTTGTTGAGTCAATTTTGCTCCACTTTACGACCTTCCTTGCCACAGTTGTTAAGTGAATCACTGCAGTTGATAAGTTAGTAACATGGTTGTTAAGTGAATCTGGCTTCTCACCATGGACTTTGCTTGTTAGAAAGTCGCCAAAGAGGGATCACATGACCCCGGGATACAGCAACCATCATAAATATGAGTCAGTTGCCAAGCAGCTGAATTTTAATCACGTGACCATGGGGATGCTTGCAATGGTTGTAACTGTGAAAAACGGTCATAAGTCACTTTTTTCAGTGCCGTTGTAACCTCGAGGGGTCATTAAATGAACTGTCGTAAGTCAAGGACTACCTTTATTTTTCCTGGTGACAGATATTTCCTCTCTCTTGGAGGGAAATTTAGTTGAGCTGAATCCTCATCCTGGCAATTGGGGACGCAGAATTAGGAGACAAGATCGAGGCTGCTGGATTTGCTCTTCAACTTTTGCCTGTGTGTGTAGCCAGTGACAAGTGTGCAGTTGGACTCACTTGGCAAATTCATTCCCAAATGCAATCCCTTGCCACTTGCCGGTTCTGACCGAAGAGAGGTTCCCAAAAGACAAAGAATTGTGTACCTTGAAGATAAGAAACTTTTTATCGCGAGGACCAGGGACAGATGTCAGTGGGCAGTAGACCATTTTTTTCACCCATCCTTTCTTAAGACTTCTTCTCAAATAGCTTGTCCAGTTTCTCACAGAACTTTCACCTAACATGTAGAAGGAGGAGAAATGGCCTCACGTGAGCAAAAGTGCTTTGCTGTTGCCAGACTATATACCGTATTTAATGGAGTATAAGACTCACTTCCACACACACACACACACCCAAAGAGGGTGGAAATGTTGGTGTGTTTTATACACCGATTACAGACATTTTTGGCCTCCCGAAACCCCGCCCTGCGCATCTCGTTTCACCAAAAGCAGGCCCATTTTTCGCAAAAACAGAGACTGCAGACAGCTTGGGAGGCCTGCAGAGTGCTCCTGGGGGCTGGGGACGGCAAAAACGGGCCCATTTTTCGCAAAAAACGGGCTGGGGTGTTTTTGCCCTCCCCAGCCACAATAGGAGCACTCTGGAGGCCTCCCAAACACTCTGCGTGCCCCGTTTTTTGCAAAAAAAAAATGGGCCTGTTTTCGCAAAAAATGGGCCCATTTTTGTCCTCCCAAACCCCCTACGTGTTGCGTTTTTGCCCCCACCCCCCACCCCAGGCCCCGTTTTTGCAAAAAACGGGATGCGTAGAGGGCTTGGGAGGTCTGCAGAGTGCTCCTGGGGGCCGGGGAGGGCAAAAACTTTTTTTTCTAGTTTACTCCAGTGGGTCTTATAGTCCCAAAAATACGGTACATGCCTTTTTTTTTTTTTACCTGTTCTCAAACAGCAGCTCATAAGTTCAGTAGAATTCACTATACACCTCTGTGCAGCCTGCGCGGCAAACTCAGTATGTCTTCCCATCAACTGGGAGACGTGTCCTATTCAGAAGATGAAATGCTTCACTGCTGGGTGAAACTACCCTGTTGTGACAGCATAGAAGCGAAGGTATTATTAAGTGGGGCACTGGAGTTCCCTGGGCCAAAGTCATTGGCGTCGTATAATTTGGCCTTATTGACAGCCCTACAAACAGCCAGTTCTCCAGTGAAAGAAAAGAGGGGAAAAAAAATGCCATCCAGAAAGAAACATCCATAATCACAGGTTCCTTTGTTTCCGTTGGCTTATTCAACCCTTTGCATTAATTAGCATTCTGAACTTTGAGCCACGGAAAGTCTTAAGCAGAAAAGCGAACATGAAATTATCTGGAAACAGGCATATCTTTCCCCTTTTCAGTCATTTTAGCCTTCCTAGTGCCGAAGCTTTAATCTTAATTAACAAATGCGTCAAAAGGTTCCCAAGCATCTCCCAGCGCAGGGAATGGTAGCCCGTCCTTTGAGGAAAATTTGCTTATCATTTGGTATGTGTCTAATCTCAAAAACTGGACCTCCCCCCCCCCTTTTTTTTTTTTTTAGGAAAGTTTTCTAATGAAAGGAAAGAAAATATTCTGTATAACTGTATTTCCGAAGTGAAAGAGAACTTGCTGTTCGGATTTTAAAATGTTAGAATTTTAAAATTGGCCAAAGGCCATGCAAGATATGTGCAAATTCTGGGTGGCATCACAGGGCAAGCTAAAAGGAAGTCTGTGATGTTCCCCTCCTCCTGAGCAGACTTGCAAGCTTAGCAGATTCGGTGGTCAAAACAAATAAGGCCAGTGAACTTTGCTCAGCTTGTGTTTTGCTGCTTCTAACAACTTTTATCTGTTGGCGCTGCAGTTAAAAAAAAACAACACATTTAACTGGGGATTTTTGTTCCGTTTCCCCTTCGCTTAATGTGTTGTTGTGTTTTTCCTCCTAGAATCTGACACGGAGTCTAGAAAATCTGAAGAACTCTTGAGCTTCAGTAAGCCTACCGTAAGTTGCAGTAACTGTTCACAGGGGTGGGGGCGGTGAGGGCTTCTAACCTTCTCACACCAAACAAAGATAGAAAATATTTGAAGTTGTATCAAATTCGGTTTTAGAGTTCTATATCTTAAATATTACAAGTGAAACATGTCTGTGGTCTCTTTAACTGCACTCTGAGGACAAATTCATCCACGTGTGCAGATGTTTAAATAAAATAAGAAGTGGGTGGAAAATGGAACTGGCTTAGCCTCTAAGTTCAGATAGGGACAGCAGATGAGGACAGCAGAATACATGACACCAGGAACACCCACAAGATGGCTCCAGCAGCCTGGTGAAAATAGCGTCATATAGAGCCAACCATGCCCTGTTAGACCTTATACCCTATAGCAGGGGTGTCAAACTCAGTTTCATTGAGAGCCACATCAGGGCTGTGGTTGACCTTTGGGGGGTCCGGGGGTGTGTGGTTTACTCGGTGGGCATGGCCAGCTTGACGCCACTCCCGAAACTGCTGGCATATTTCTTCTTTGCACTGGGTAGACCGGGCCGTAGCCACGCTGGCCCGATGTTTCCTCTTTGCATTGGGTAGACCGGACCAAAGCAACGCGGATAGACCGGAGCGAAGCAGTGTGGGCTGGCCCCCTACATTTTACAGGACAGTCCTTTGGGCCGGATCCGACCACATAATGGGCCAGATGTTTGACACCCCTGCCCTATAGCAATAGCATTTAGGCTTATATAGCAATAACAATAGCACTTAAGACTTATATACTGCTTCATAGTGCTTTTACAGCCCTCTAAGCGGTTTACAGAGTCAGCATCTTGCCCCCCAACAATCTGGGTCCTCATTTTACCCACCTCAGAAGGATGAAAGGCTGAGTCAACTTTGAGCTGGTCAGGATCGATCTTTTGGCAGTGAGCGGAATTAACCTGCAATAGCAAGTGCACTTAGACTTATATACCACTTCACAGTGCTTTACAGCCCTTTCTAAGCGGTTTACAGAGTCAGTATATTGCCCCCAACAATTTCGGTCCTCTTTTTACCGACCTTAGAAGGATGGAAGACTTGAGTCAACCTCGAGCCCCATTGGGATTGAACTCCAGGCTGTGGGCAGAGTTAGCCTGCAATACTGCACTTCACCACTAGGGCTGATGATGATACACCAGGCCCATCCAGTTGGGGCAGATGTAATGGCACAATGCAGCTGTCATCATTTTGGGGGAAGCAGCAAAACAACCACCTATTGCGTATTTGTATTGTAAATGGTAACCATCTTCCCTTTGGTTTCCAAAGGTCTCTGAGATACAGGCACGTTCGGCAGTTATTTCTTGGAATGCTCCAGCTGCAGCCCAGAATGAAGAAACGCAGAGTCTCACTCCTGAAGCCTTTACTTTTGAAGTCGCACTCTCGAATAGCGGTAAAAATGGAAAATTTAAATCCCTTTACAGGTGAGTCCATTTTCATAATTGAATGGCATAGCTTTCTTTGCTGGCCGCCTGATGGCCAGTGTCAATCAGGATTGTTTTTTCAGCTTCGTTTCCATGGAAATAATTTTAAAAGTGGAGCTTATATTTGCTTCTACTGTTGAATCCTGATAGGATTTGAGTGCCAAATCCTAAAAGTAAATTTTAAGATTAGCTTGCAAACCTAATTTTTATCCTGTGGCATCCTTCCTGATACCTAGTCCTTACAAGCTGCATTCGCCAGCTGATTTGTTATTGTAAGCATGTTTTTATTTTAGGGTTTTCCCCTCTGCAAAAGGCAGAAGGATTTTGTAACTCATTATTTTTGTTGTTATGATCTAACGGTATCTTTTTTCTCCCCCCCCGCCCCCCTACAGTGGTGAGGATGTAACTTTTACTCTGTCTGAACTCCGACCAGCAACTGATTATCATGTCAGGTGAGCTTGGGAAGCAAAAGTTTATCAATAGCAAGACAATAAAATAAAGATCACAATGTTTTAAATTTGAAGGGGAGGGGGGGGGGTTGGAGGGAGGCCTTCCATCAAGGAGTACAGGGGACATGGAAATTGCATCAGTGTCAATAGAGGACTTTTTGGGGGGGTTGCTTTTAAACCTTCTCATGGCCCTTGTTGGAGAACGTTGGATTTTCTTGTCAAATATAATGAAAGTATAAAGGGTATTGTGAGTTTAAGGTAAGTATTTGGGTCTTGAGGAATCTGGAGCTGTGGGTCTCTTCTAATGACTCTACTATAAGAGGGCTGTATTCAGGGGTGGGCTGCTGGGGGTTCTCAGGGATTCAGGAGAACCTCTAGCTAAGATTCTGTGCAGTTCGGAGAACCCCCAAGTCCCACTCCTGGCTGGCCCCGTCCACCCCTCCCCTCCCAGGAATCCCCATGCGGCCCGTTTTGGATCCAGGTAAGTGCAGGGCACGCACGGAGGCATAGGGAAGGGCAAAAAACGGGCCTACCAGAAGTTTGGACTCGTTTCCAGCCTCCAGAGGGCCCCCAAAACCTGGGGAGGCCGTTTTCGCCCTCCTGGAGGCTTGAGAAAAGCCTCTGGAGCCTGGGGAGGGCAAAAACGCCCCTCCCCCACCATGGTGCAGGAGGCCGACTAGGCCACGCCCACCATGGCCATGCCCGCCCAGTAACTCGGTAGAGAACCTCTTGCTAAAATTTTTGAAGCCCACCCCTGGCTATATTCCAAATGAAGTTCTGAAATAGCTATTTCTCAGTGCCTTACGTTAACCATGGTCTGTTTTTTTCAGCTCTCAATGTCATTGTATGTTGGTAGCTTCCTTGGTTTGTTTTGCTTCGTTGTATGTTTGGCATTGCTTGTCCTTAAGTTTACTGAACGCTTTATATATGCCCCCTTTCAAAACACTTTCCCATCTCCAACGAACCTTCAAAGTGAACATGCAATGAGGAGTTACGGCAGAATTTAGAAAACCGGGATAAGACCGAGGCTTTGTTTTTATAGCTGTATCTATGTCTGTGTTGACTTCATGCAGAGTTTCGGCATCAGGCCATTCCACAAAGGAATCTGTTTCAGAGGTGGTGAGTTTTACTACCGAGAGTTGTGAACCGGATCCTCCAGCTGCACCAAAAGTAGTCAACAAAACCAAAAACAGCCTGACTTTACAATGGAAGGTAAGAGCAAAGCCAAGAATAGTTCCTGACCTCTTTGTGGGTTTTCAAAAGACATACAGATTTTTTTTTCTCCCCCTCCTTGTAATGATGTTCCTTACGAAGTGACAACTTCCTTTGAACGTACTCAGCTTACATCACACACGGTTTTGTAGTGCGGGCACTGGGCAATACTTAAATATTGTTTTTGGTTTTTTTATGCGTGCTTGGAGGTGAGGGTGGGAGATACACAGTAGTGGTCCAAGTTGTGGAAACCTTTTGGGAAAAGTGTATTTTCTAAAAACAGTTAATAACACCACTTTTTTGGGGGACTGGTACCATGAAATTATATATCAATGGAAAGATAATTTGATCAAGAATGTAATGCAATAACGTTTATGAAGGATTTGCTATTAGAATAGCAGTTGCAGTATAAAGAAGAAAAGCGAAATATACAAAAATTATCACCATAGAAAAAATGAGATATACAGAAATTATCCCCATGTCAGTTAATACTTAGTTGGGCAACCTTTATCATAAATTATGGCCTTACAATGTCTTCCCATGGAGTGAACCAAGTCTTTTAGTTCTGCAGCTGTTACAATGTGAAACCAAGATTGAATGATGGCTTCTATTAACTGGGTTTTATTGCTGGGTCGCTTCTGACTAACAAATTACTTTAGTGAGCTCCATAGATTTTCAATTGGGTGAAGGTCTGGGCTATTCCCAGGCCATTCCAGCAGTGGAATAGGATTATCTTGAAACTCCAAAAAAAAAAAAAAAAAAAGTGGTGTTATTAGCCATCCAACCTCAAAAATACACTTTTCCGAAAAGGTTTCCACAATTTTGGCCACTACTGTAGGGCTTGAAAGCATTGGAAATAAATATTTCATTTATTTATTACATTGATATAGCCAACCAACTCACACATAAGAGATTCCAGGTACCGTATAGTAAAATCCATTAAAAAAAACACCACCCCTCCACCCCCAGATCAAGACTATTGGGGGTGTTGCTTAATGAGGCTATACAGTCCTCACCTTACAACAGTTCATTTAGTGACTGTTTCCTCCTCTTCTTCCTTCCCCTTGCAGAATGAAAGAGACCATTTTATTAATAGCTGGAGAACAGAGGTGTGTTTTCTGTAGGAATGAAGTATTGGTTAAAATTAGGAAGTTTCTTCTCTGAATAACCTAGCAACCTAACTTTTCTTTCTTTCTTTTCACAGTCCTCCAATGACAATGGGTCCAAAATAACTAGCTACCTTTTAGAATGGGATGAGGTACGTTTCCTGTGTTTAATGAATTATTATAAATCATCATAATTCTGGTGTTCTGATCAAGACATTGGTCTGCATTTGTGTAAAACATCCTTCAATGCAAACGTCCAGAGATGGCTGCAAACTTGCAACTCCAGAAGGAAGATCTTATCTTCCAGCCAGTCCACTTTTCTGGAAGGCAAAAAACAGAACTTCCAAAACGGGTTTTCAGCACCTTCTGTTTAAGATTTTGGGAGTTTAAACTAGTATTTGTTAAGATTTCAGGTGGATTTTAAAAAAGCAAGGATGCCTTCAAGGTTTCGTATGAAGACCATCAATTTCTCACAATTGTAAAGCAGCATGGGCAGAATCAATGGATAATAGCTAGTTGTAACATTGTCCCATTTGACTCCTGCCAAGATTAATTCATAATCTGGCTGTGTAAGCCTTAACCAAGGTAGCCTTGTGTCCCTATGAAATACATGTTACATCGCTGTGCTTGCTAACAAATACAAGATGTTTTTTTTAAACAAAAAAACAACAACAAAAAACTAACCCCAAAAGATTAGCACCACAATGGTTTTATTACCAGAACTGTCGCTTACATTGCTTTTTAAAAAAAAAGATATTTTGGATGATAAAATAATGACATTAAAATTGGCTTGTCAAGGAGAAATTGTATGAGATCATGGCCTTAGTTCCCTAATGTTTGCTACCAAAATTGATGGCACAGTACAACATGCATCTCACAATGTTGCTTTGTATCTCTGATATTGCTGAACCACCACAATTTCTGGGAACAATAACAATGACATCTGGAGAATGGAATGGGCTGTAAACTTGACAAGTAAATTAACAGGGTGGAAATGTTCCGCTTTTCATGGCCCAGTTCAAAGCTATGATTAGGCTAGGGAATCTTGATTGAGGAGAGTTTTATTCTAGATTTTGAGCTAAGAATCGTTGGTCTAAAGCTGGTCTCCCTTACTAAGATGATCTGTTTCTGAGTCTAAACTCTACTCTAGTTCTCCCTTAAGAGAGGCCTTTCTTCCTTTCTTTAGGCTTAATGCAATGTTTCTCAACCTTGGCAACTTTGAGATGGGTGGACTTCAACTCCCAGAATTCTAAATAGCCAGCCATGCTTAAAGTTGCCAAGATTGAGAGACACTGACCTCATGGCTTTTGTGTATCAAAATGAGGAGGAGGAGGAGGCAAACTCTGCCCCGTAAGCCTTCCACCTCCAAATATGAAAGATTCTAGCTTAGGCATCAGGGTTAACTGGATCTTTGAGAACTGTACTGTACTTTCTGACTTGATTTTAATTTTAATAAGAAGAGACTGCACAGCCATTTGTCTGAAACAGTATAGGCTCTCTCCTGCTTGAGCAGGGGGTTAGACTAGAAGACCTCCAAGGTCCCCTCCAACTCTGTCGTTGTGTTCTTCTTTGAAAAGGGGAAGACCGGAGCCTTCAAAGAATGCTACTACGGTCATCTAAAGCAGCACAAAGTCACCAAGCTGTCCCCCTCTACCAAATACGCATTCAGACTAGCAGCCAAAAATGACATTGGCATGAGGTAAAAAAAAAAGCGTGAGAGGCGTTGTAAATTCACCGTTTCCGCAACGACTTGGATGGCTCAGCTTCTTCCCTAACCCCACAACTTTTTGTCCCCCCCCTCCCTCCCCAGTGGGTTCGGCGAGACGTTGGTCTGCTTCACCATCGGAGTTGTCCCACCACCGCCCCTCCCACCCCAGCTAAGCAAGGCAGGCGTG